GGCCACACACACACACAAAATAAATAAATAAATAAATATTAAAAAAAAAAAAAAAAAAAAGAACTACCTATGGGTCTACCTAAGGGCTGACAAGGATTCTGAAGTGATCTTGAATATAACAATGTATCTATGATTTCTATTAATGGTAAGTATTATGCTCCTGTTGCTACTCTTGTGGTTTGTTTCCCACTGTCACTGTTGAAGGAAACACTGATTTTTAGCAAGATGTTAATGAAAATAAAGGTCTAAACTTTCCCTCATTCAAACTGTCTCCTTGATGGGCCGGGGAGATAGCTCAGTGGAATAAGTGCTTCCTTGGCAAGCGCAAGGACCAGAGTTCAATCCTCAGTTCCGCCAAAAAACAAAACAAATTTTCTCCTTGGATCCCAGATCAAAAACCTCTTATTTGAATGCATGCTTATGCTTATGTTACAATACTCACATAGGGTGGCATCATAGCTCTGTACTGGGAAGCAAGAGTAGGTTGTTGTCCATTCAGTTTAGCCTGCGGAGGACCACAAGCTATCCTTTTTTCCACCACTTTGAGGATGTCACTTTGTTCTGATGTTATAGCTGTGTTTTCATCTTGAACAAGCTTTTCATCCTGGTCTGTTGAGGAAGATGGGCCAGAAGATTTACCACCATCTCTCCAACAAGCAACATCTGATATAGCAGAAGAAAAGGGAGAAAAACATCTGAAGATGAAACAATAAAATCAACTTAAAACATATTTCAAGAAAATACAAGTAAGTAAGTAGAGTGAAGGAGCACAGAGTGTAGTATAAACCCTATGAATACTTTCACGGTGTTGTTTATAAATAGTCCGGAAGAGTAACTTCCAAAAGCCTCTAGAGTGGCTACAGCTTGAGGGTGTTATCAAAAGTAAATACGGGGGAAGAAAATATTAGAACTTCTCTCTGAAGCTTATCAATATTTGATACAGATTAAAATCCCATTTTCTCTTGGCCTGTTATACCAGTCAATCATGTTTAAGATACCTTCTTTTCTGAAAAAACATGAGTCCTACAATTTGCAAGGCTTGACAATGAAACTTCCACTTTACTGGCATTCAGTCAAGCATTCTTAGTTACACGTGTCCAAGTGAACAGATCTGGTGACAATATCTTGCTTCATTATCCTTAACCAAATTTTGCAAGTAAACTCTTGTGGTAGCCAGTCTCTTGGGATGGTCAGAATGGTCTCTATCTCATGGCATTCACACCCTTTGTAACCCCCTTTCTCAATACCAAGGTTGCTCCATACAACTTGTAGAACAGAGTACAAGAGATGGGCTTTTCTTGGGGAGGCAATGTGTGTCTCTTTCTCTTGACTTTATTTTGGGGAAGTGGTACTTTGAGCAGCTCCAGTCAAGAAAACTTCCAATAATGTTGTCTGCAGCCTTGTGAAGGTCCCTTAGCCATAATTACCAAGTAGGCTGTTCTTGGATTCTTATAACCATGAATTATTGTGACAGAACAGAAATCTGATTTGGTCTGTTAGTTTGCACTGCTAAATTTGTTATGCAGCAATAAATAACTGGTAAAAATTCAACTGAACAGAAAAGTGGAGCCAACACAACTACTCCTGATATAAGCTCATTAGTTACATTACAGAGATTAAAAACTAAAATAATCTATTCAGATTTGACAACTGATTCAAAAGATATGTAAAACGTAAAAAGGTTATTAGAAATCAAGCTCTATAAGCATTTCTTCCTTAAGAGGAACCTCTCACATGTATATAATTTCCACTGAAATACTAGGTAATGATAATATGAAGCTAGCACAATGAGATACTTAAAATTAAAAATCCTCTCAAAAACTTTACATATATTTCTACTTTTCCTGTCTTTATAAGGTAGTTATCTCACTATTCAAAACTTGTTTCCTCAGTTTGAGTTCAGAAAGCAAGTAATAGTAAATATATAAAATTTCTAAATATATAGCTGAATATTGGTTAAATTTTTGTTCAAAAACATTTGCTACTACGAAAAAGTGCCAAATATTAAGGTATATAGAAGTCATCTGGACATTTAGTAAAATGAAGATTATGATTTAGTCAGATGTGAAGCCCAAGACTATATATGCCTGGAAAGTTCTCTCACAATACTGTTGGTACAAGAATTACATCTGTCCCAGTAGCAAGTGAACACTGGACTAACCTGTCTTTTGAAGCAAACTAGGCAAGTCACATACACAAAAAAGCAAACAGAGGGAAATATAACACAAGATAAAGCACAGTCTGATCTCAGTGTTATTAAACAAAGTGTTCTTACTTGGTGGCCGCAAACTGGGTCCAGGCCCATAGCTGTCATCATTTGCTTCCTTTTCTTTTTTATCTTGATCCCCTGCTGCCTGCAAGCTGGGAAATTCCTGCTGAAATTGACTATTCACCTGGATTCCTACAAATATTTTTTAAAAATAAAAAAAAAGGTAACTTTTATACTGAAAATAATTCAAACAACCCTCCCCCTCAGAATAGAATTTTGGCTTCTTTCTGATAAACTGTTCTGCATTTTAACAATTGTTCAGAGTTATAAAACTTTAAATTTATCTTGAATCCTTTGAGAAGTTAATGAACAGCCATGAGGAGATAAAAATCTAAGAAAGGAACCTACCTATCACATTCTAAAGGACTTAAGATGAGTGGACAAATCAAGAGTTTCACTTTTTCCAAACTTTTTTTTTTTTTTACTGTGGTGGTACCAGGGATAGAACTCAGCACCTTGCACTTGCCAGGCAAGCATTTATTCCACTGAGCTATGTCCCCAGCCCCCTCAAATTTTTTAGCAATGTTACCAATGGCTTGAACCACCAATGATACCTGCATGAGTGTTCTATCAAGGGACTAGTATTACTGGTGGTACAAATGGATCTAATCACTTTGTCACAGTCCTTTTACTAATAAAGTTAGTAAAATCTGTAAGTAAACTGAGTCTAGTCAACTTAAGTAATTACTGCCCAATAGAAATACTAATACAATTTGGCTTAGTGCCTTCTTACTGCGGAGATAAAAATACCCAACACTCAAAATTAAAGAAAGGTTTATTTAGCTCAGTTTATAGAGGTTTCAGTTCATAATCAGTGGCTCCAAGGTAGGGTGGCATGGCAGTCATTACAGAGAAGAAACAGTTCATGGTGGGCAGAAGGTACTAAAGCAAACAAGCAACAGAAAAGATAAGCCTTTTTCTATCCCTTATACTGTATCCATGCTGAGGTGAGAGGTGGCAATCATACACCCACAATCCCAGCATCACACACTGTAGAATCAGCCACCTCTGACAAAAGTCCCACCTATAACTTCAATGACGCTTGGAGGGGATATTTAGAACCAAACTAAAACATTCCACACTGGCCTCTCAAAGACTTACATACACTGTATTATACAAAAGGCATTTAGCCCATCTCTAAGAGCAGCCAAATTCCTAACAGTTTGAGCATTGCTGAAAAGTCCAGGTCCCAAGGCTCCATTGAGAGTAAGACAAACTCTTAGCTGTGAACCTCTGTACAAATAAAGAGTTAAACACTTGCAACAATGAATGGCACAAGATAAACATTACCATCCCAAAAGGGAAACTAGGGACATACAAAGGAATGGGATAGAAGCCAGCCGAAAATCCAGCAGAGCAAACATTAAGTCCTATAGTTCCATGTACAGCATTCAAAGGCATCTGTGGCAAGATGTAAACTCCAAATGGCTTGGGTGAAGCCCGACGGTATTTCTGGTGGTTGAAAATCCTGTGACTTCTCTCTTGGGCCTACACTGCTCATCTTGCTATTTTCCTTAGGCAATCCACAATCCTGGCTTCTCTAAACTTGAGGGGTCTCTACTGTACCTTTGGCTGCACAGTTTCGGCTTCATACACTGCCCCCTCAGGGGCACACTGCCTGGCCTCTCAGACCTTCTTCTGAAGTTTAGGTGGAAATCTTCATGACCCTATAACTCCTGCATTCTGCTTACACCTAAAACTAGTACCAGGTGGCTGCTGATAAGTTCTGCTGCCAGCTGGAGCAGTACCCTGGTTTCCTTCTCTCCTGAGTGTATAGAGCTCAAGAACTTGGATCACTGAGCACTCTGAAGCCAATCTCAAGAACAAATTCTCTAGGTCACTGCCATTCTGGAACATGGTGCTCTGGACTTCTTAAAGCAAAGTCTTTCATCTTTGCAACTCTGGAAATTGCAAAGGCTGGAGTCCTGCTGGGTCCTGCGAAGTCCTCAGGCCATCTTTTCTATTATCTTCTGAAATACTTGGTTTTTCCTTGTCAGTCTTTTCAGTGACCAATTTCTCCTCAGCTCCATCTTTTTAGGTCCCTACTTCACTTAAGCTTCCCTTCTAGACAAACTCATTCTGAATCATTCCGATGGCCTTTGTCCTTAAAGCTCAACATAAATCTGGCTAAAAGTTCCCATGAGTAGCCATGCCACCACCTCAACATTAGACTGCTAAGAAATTTCTTCTACAAGATTAGTCTGCTGCCCTTAATCTGCAGACAAAAGCAAAATGCAGACCTACTTTCTGCCAAGCAATACTACATAAAGTCTGAGTCCAACAATCAATGCAGTCTTCTTTCCCAGCAGAACCCTACTGAGCCTAGTCTTTACCAGCATCGATTCTACCAGCATTCTGGTCCTCTGAACACTTGACTAGAACTCCTCATCAAGTACATACAGTCTAAGGCATTCCAGCTCTTGTTTTTTAGATTGCATCTTCAAACCTTTACTAATTCCTCCCCTTCCTGCAAGCCAGTTTCCAAAGGCTCCTAAACCACATGGTAAGGTATAGTAATAGACATAGTCCCACTTTTCTGGTATGAAATTTCTATATTATACTTGACACCCAAAGTTAAAGGAAGAAAGCTCACAGTTTGTAGAGGTTTCAATCCGTAATCAGTTGGCTTCAAGGCAAGGTGCATAACAGACAGGCATTACAGAGAAACACTTCATGGTAGGCAGAAGGTAGCAAAGCAAACAAGAGAGAAGACAAGCCTCTTTCTGTCCCTTAAACTGTACCTAGGTGACTGGGATTAGGGAGGTAGCAAACTAATCAGTGGACTGGTTTAGTAATCACACACCCTTAATCCCAGCATTACACACTGTAGTTTCAGCCACCTCTGAAAAAGCCCTCCCTGTAATTGCATGAAGCTTTGGGGGAACATCTATACCAATTTAAAAAATTATTACAAAAGTTAACAAATTTACTTCATTGAATCAGAGCTTTCTGGCAGTGAGATATAAGAATTATTGGCCCCACTGTGAACATGCTAAATTGGGTGTGTTCTATGAATAAAGTTTTATAACTTTTATACTCTTTCCAAACTTCGAGTAACTACAGTTACCTATCAAGGTAAGGCTAAAATGTCTCCATATAATTTATAGCTTTTATTTAATTTACAACTGAGCAACTAATTCCTTGTCAATTACTTGCTTCCAAAAAAATCGAAAAGAGCTAACTGTATTAGATTGAGGGCCTAGATTGATTCTTCTGTAGACTTCTATAGTTTTTGTTGTTTTAGTAGAACAAAACAAATTAGGATCTATTGGAAAATTAGGATCTGTTGGCTGGCGAGTGTCAGGGGAAGGTACTGTGCTTTATTTATGGCTACTTGTGAATTCTTCTCCAACCAAGAAATGCTAACAGCATGTTTGAAACAGAAGAGCTTGAGGAGCACAGTAGAAATTAATGGTTTCTAACAAACTACATTATGTTTAGATACTTCTATGTGTTAAAGATACAAACTTTGGATATGCAGAGTTTTAAAAGAGAGAAATAGTTTAAAGAGTCTTTTAAGGAAGATCCTTATTAAATAACTCAATATATCTTTCACAGAGCTTTCTATACCTACCAAATCAAGTTACCTCTTATCTCCTGCATGGCTGCTCAATAACTATCAAACCTAACCAGATTCCCCAGCTAAGGTCCACTTACCATCTCCTTGCCCACCTTGCTTGTTACTGGCCCATGATTTAGGAGCAGGTGCTATTTCTGGGGGAGGTGCAACCCCAGGTTTTGGCTGTGCTGGTGACACTTCTGGTGCTCTTAAAAAAAATATGAATCCATTATTTCAGATATTATATGTTTTTAGGTAAAATCAAATCAAATCAATGGTTACACATAAGGTAAATATGTGTACAACTTATTTTGGTTAAATATTTACTCATAGATACAGCTCCTATAAAAGTTTTTCTCTTGCAACAACCTTTTAAATGAATTTGGTTATTTTTGTCCACATTTATCTCTATCTTTGAATAACCAAATGAGATGAGTGTTTTACTTGTTTTCCATTTTGTTAAGAAAAAATACAAACATTTATTACTGAACAAGGTTTTGAAGAAGTAAACATGTATAAATATATGCATACATACAGTCTGGCTCAGTGCATTAGCTCGGGGCTAAGGCGAGGCAGCACTCCATCTGGTTGTCAGTATGCTCACCACCGTACTTACTTACTTTCTACCATGATTTTAAATAGGTAACAACCGTGACTCATCCACATGGCTGCACTGATAAAGGTTCTACAATCTGAGGTACAGGATCTCAGGACAAATCCTGAGGGCATTTCACTGACCTTCTCAGACCAAAAAGCTACAACTCTTGTTGCATAGGTCTTGCTTTACCTTGGTCTTAACCATCCAGTAGAAAAGTATGAAGTCGAAATATAAGAAATAAAGCCATGCTGTTAAGTTGAGCTGTGGGGGACTCAGGTCAATAATTTCTGACATTGCCAGTTAAACAGAAGACCCAATGCTATTATGGGCTACTGGACTCTTTTAGAATATTTTGCTGAGTTTACACACCTATAATATTCAATAACGGAACTTAGAAAAAATGGGGTATACCGATGAATGTCCATTTTGTATCTGTGTACTCAAAGAGGTTGGGATAGATATATAGTTGCATTCTCTTAATGAATAGAATGATTTGTTCTAATGGTGTTTGTAAATAGGATCACAAGTCCGCATCTTGTACAGGAATTAACCACTGAGAAGAATATATGCAGTGTATTATTTGTTGAAACTGTACTTCTGATTTGAATTGAAACTGTCTCATTGCTGTTTATCAATAAAACTTTGAAAAAAAAATAAATAGGTAACAACCACCTGTCTGACCCATTCCCATAAGTAAAAGATATTTTTAAAGAACCTCCAGTCTTACTGAATCCTTATAATATGATAATGCTTAAAAATGAAAAGGTAGAAAAAAAAAATATATATATATATATAAAAAAAAATGAAAAGGTAGTTAAAAGACTCAAATACAAATAGATTTCTGGTACACTCAGACCTTTGACTTGTTACTATAATTCTACTACATCTGATAATGAGAGAACAATTCCACAATAACTTTCTACACAAGTTGTCAAATTTACTAAAAAAAAGCTCCATTACAGGAACATATAAAAATCTAATTGTAGATACAGGCAAAAAAAAAAAAAAGAAAAAAGAAAAAATCCCACTAAGTTTCCAATATCTCATTTGTGAAAATGACTACATTTAGCTTAGTTAAATTAAGAGAGAAAAAAAAAGAAACCTAAGAGCTTGGCACACTTGATATACAGAAAACTAAATATTTATTGAATGAATGATAATTAAGACAGATGCTGGCAATCCCCAAATTTCTTGGCACATTTATTTATTTATGTCAGAACCAGGGATTGAACTCAGGCCCTTGCACCTGCCAGGGAAGCGCTTATTCCACTGAGCCATTTCCCCGGCTCTTGCTTGGCACTTATTCAATAAATGTTTGAGCACCCATAATACATCAGATAAGGTTCCATGTTAAAGATATACAGTGGACCAGTTGATAGAAATCTTTAGCATCAAGGAATTTGGGTAACTGAAGCAATTCTTATTGATTAGAAAAAGAATGTTTCATTTCACAAGGGTAAGAGAGGAGAGCATGACACAGGCTTTATCAAGAACTACACTGTGATTAGCAATTCTGTCACACGTTCTTTGTTAACAGAGATAGTATCACTATATCAGTCAAAGGAAAAAAAGCATATGACCAGTTCTTTAAGGGCCTACGAGATAGCTCAGCAGACTAAACATCTGTTTAGGCAAGCACAGGGACGGGGCTTCAATCCCTGGCACCACATGCCATACCAGCCCCATCCTGGGCGTGCTAAACAGGCCACCAAGATCAGGCATGGTTGCGCATGCCTGTAATCCCAGCATTAGAGAGGCCTAAAACAGGAGGATCACTACAAGTCTTAGTTGTGTAGTAAGACCCCATACCAAATACATTTTTTTTAAATTAAAACACATAAAATATGTTAATACGGGGAATATCTCACTTAGTATATGGCAGGTACTCAAACACAAGTTCCCTACAAAAGGAGGTTCATTCTTTTTTTTTTGCTCCTTGAATGCCTTCAGGGCACTTTTGCATGGCTGGAGTGTTGTGGGGATCGAACTACAGCAAACTGAGGCTGCCAGCATTGTGGAAGCAGCCACTTAAACAACTGAGCTAGGGCTGGGCCCCCGAGGTTCATTCTTTCATAGACTTGTGACTTACTTTTCTTCTTCGTGCTGTTCTTGTTTAGATGCCCATCCTGTGCCATCTTTAGGAACAATATTCACATTAGGATCATTGCCTTTGTTTTCTGCTTTGAGACTTGGGAGATTAGCAGGTGGAGGCATGCGCCGTGAAATACCAACTTTTCCAAGGCTTTGTAACCCATGTCGAGCTGCAACTAAAAGATCAGTAACATCAACTTTCTTAAAACATCTATTTTGTTACCCCCCAATTTAACAAAACTTTGACTATTCCTAATGTTAAGGATATATAAAATGAAATCACTACAGACTTGCAACATAATGCAGAAATCATAAACAATCAAACCATTCAACAGCCTCCAAATTTTAAAAATGCAGCCGAGTGTGATGACTTGTGCCTATTAATTCCAGTGTACTTGGGAAGCTGAATCAGGAGGATCACTCGACCACAGCAGTTTGAGGTCACATAGTAACAATGTGAGACCCTGCCTAAAAAAAACCCAAAAGCTCAAAACTAAAACAAAATTCTAATACTGTACTCCAATACGATATGGATGGAGAAAGGAAACAAATGCTAATAATGACAATACTGAAATTTTTTAGGGAATATCTCAAGTTCAAAACTTCAAATGTTAGATAACTATACTGATCTTATGTTAATGTTAACATATACCAAACATGGCCCAAATTTCAGTTTCCACTGTTTATAGTGAACCCAAAGAAAATAAAACCATAGAACTTTATTCTACCACTGAAGAGACAGTAAACACTAATACATAGCTGTGTACCTCAATTTCACAGGCAAGTTTCCTGTTTGAAATCATACTGTTAGATTCTGCTGACAAAGAGAAAAATGTATTTTCAAAAGCCTCTATAAAAGAGTGCATTTTCCTTTTCTTTGGTCTTTTTTGAGGCAGGATCTTGCTATACAGTTCCACCTGGCCTTGAGCTCACTGTGCAGCCCAGGCTGGTCTTTAACTCACAACAATCCTCCTGCCTCAGCCTCCCAAGTGCTGGGGTTACTGACAAGTGTCACCACTCCGTGCTAAGAGTACATTTTCAATTCTAAAATATTTAACCTATATCCCCTGAAAAATGTATGAATATATAAAAAAGGCTAATGAAGGGGCTGGTGAGATGGCTCAGTGGTCTAAAGTACCTACTTAGAACAAGCTTAGCAAAGCGCAGGGACCGCGGTTCAATCCCAGCACCACATGCCAGCCAGCCCCGCCCCCTAGTGGGCTGAGCTGGCCACACACACACACACACACACACACACAAATAAATAAAATTAAAAGAAAAAAAAAAAGGCTAATGAAAACACAGTTGAATTAACCTGGGTTTGTTATAGCTTCTAATAGTAGCTCTAGTTGTATCATCCATAGTAACTAGAAAGAAAAAAAAAAACAAAAAAAAAAAACACATAAACGCCATTTGACTTTACTCACCTGTAGTTTTCTGAGTTTCCAGTGATTTTCCCTTGTAAGTATTAAACAAACTGAGTGTTGCATACTTTTTCCCATCCTTTGCTTTTGTGCTCTGGCCTGACTTCTCCGACATTTCGGTGGAAACTCATCGAGTCCAAAACCTCCTGCCACACTGCTCAAAATCAGTCTTTAAGAGGCATATAAAAAGGAAAAACAAAGAGAAGACTTTTAGAACTTATGAGCAGAGTAAAAACTTAAAACCTTCAAATGCTCACAAAAAAGTTTAAAAACTACCAAGAAATGAGGTATCAATCCTCATTATCCATCAGTGATAATTTTTTTTTATATCCAAAATGTGTTTATTAGGATGGCTTCCCACTCATCTTGATCGAGGGTACAGTTAGTGCTGATTCCTCCTGAAGGAACATCCTTCTGTGAGCCTTGCTTTCCCTCCTGTAGGCTGGCACATGATAGTGGTGATTTCATAGCATCCTGGGCACTTCACGTCCATGAAGTAGTCAAGAATTGGGGCTCTGCACCAGGCGCTGCTTCTTGTGCTTCCTCTTCTCCTCCAGAGAGGGATGAAGGAAATCTTCTGCGAAAGGCATGTTCTTGAGGGGAGGTCATCACCGCCAGAAATGCCATCATTGATAATTTCATAGACTTCTTTAATACTGTTAAATTCCAATAGCCAATACACAATAGACTACTACATATATTCTCTCCCAAATAAAAAGGAAATAAAGTATACAGCAAGTGTGTTCTGTGAAGTATGAAAGGTAGACAATGGGTCTGGGAGATAGCTCAGTAGAATAAGCGCTTGCCTGGTAAGCATAAGGGCCTGAGTTCAACCCACGGTTCCGGGGAAAAAAAAGAAAGGTGGACAAAAAAAAGAGCTATACAGAGGGTTAGGAAAAAAAGGAATGTATTCTTCATGCAGTTTTTCTTTAATACTGCAGTAACTAGTAGTACACTACAAACAGAAGCTAAGTCATTAAAAAGCTAAATCATAAATATCACGTGAATGAATCATGAGTACATTTAAATGATAATACAAAGATATGCTGTACCTACTGCTTTTATAAAAGAACACACATCTCTAAATGAATAGTTTGTGGTCATAAAGTGTAAGACTAAACTGTAAGACTAAAGCTTGGTGACCTCTAATCTTAGCCATAGGCAGGAGTATTGCAAGTTTTAGGCCAGTCTGGGCAACATAGCAAGACCCTGTCTCAAAAAACTTAAAAGGGGTGGGAATGTAGTCTGGTTTTTCCTAGGTTCAAACCCTAATACTACGGGGCATGGGGGACAGGGGTTAGATGAACGAGAAAGGCCAATTCCACTGTAATGGTTAGCCCGTTAATTATGAACACTTTTGTTTTGGTACTGTCATCGCACTCAGTGCCTCATTCTTTCTAGGCAGGCACTGCACCACTGAGCTAAGTTCCTGGCCCATGAACATTTTTTAATTTACTATCCGAAGAGTTCCCAGGTCCTGACACAGAGAAAGAAAATAAAATGACAGATGAAGAGTTCTTAAGTTCAAAAGTTTGAAGCTAAGAGTTTATGGAATAGTGTTTAGACAAGATAGCACGTCTGCATCTTGTACTATGAATAACTACTATGAAGACAACAATATACAAAGTTTAAGTTAGGGAAAAAAAAAAAAAAAACAAGCTTAATTTAGCCTCTAGTTTTCTAGTATCCTGTCTTGTTTCTAAAAGACTAGGAAAGATGCCCAATTCTCTGTCTCTCTCTCTCTCTCTTTTTTTTTTTTTTTGCGGAACCAGGGATTGAACTCAGGCCCTTGAGCTTGCCAGGGAAGTGCTTATTCCCCTGAGCCATCTCCCTGGCCCCCCAATTCTCAATATATACTTGAGAGAAATGCTAGTGTCCTATTCAAAATTCACGCATGATTGTAGGACAAAAGAATCAAGCAACTCAGAAAAGTCATGATCAGAACTGACCTTCATTTTGTATACTTTAAGATATTTTTAAAAGTCTAATTCCTGTTTAGGAGGCTTCAATGAATAAAACAAGCATGGCTACCTAAAGATGTAACAGTCAAGACCAACAGAATATTGACTAAGATTAATATAGGAAATTTCCTTCCTCCTTGAGAAACTACTTAAAAATTGGACTATGGGCACACGTATGTATGTTTATGTATACAAAAACACTAGATGGAAAAAAGAAATTCCTGACATTTTGGAAATAATGAAGTGAGCCATCCAGTTGCCTGAATTTACTATCCAAAGAGTTTCCAGGTCCTGACACAGAGAAAGAAAATAAAATGACAGATGAAGAGTTCTTAAGTTCAAAAGTTTGAAGCTAAGAGTTTATGGAATAGGGGCTGGGGAGATGGCTCAGTGGTCTAAAGCACCTACTTAGAACAAGCTTAGCGAAGCACATGGACCACAGTTCAATCCCCCAGCACCACATGCCAGCCAGCCCCGCCCCCTGGTGCACTGAGCTGGCCACACACACACACAAAATAAATAAAATAAATAAATAAATAAAAAAGACTTGTGCCAATAAAAAAAAAAAGTTTATAAAAAAGAGTTTATGGAATAGTGTTTAGACAAGATAGCACGTCTGCATCTTGTACTATGAATAACTACTATGAAGACAACAATATACAATGTATTAATTATTGTAACTGTTCTACTAACCTGTTTTGAAACTGTCTCACTACTTCTTTCTGAATAAAATTTTTTAAAAAAGAGTTCATGGATAACAAGGTAAGCTATGATACACTGCTGGAAAGAAGGCCACACAGAAAGAAAACACACAGGCCTGCAGAGGTTCCCCTTTAAGTACCAATCTACATATCTGTGGGGGAAATTACTATGAAACATGAATGAACCACCTTAAAGAACCAGCATCTAGTGCTCAAAACACAGGAATGAACCACCTTAAGGGACCAGTGCCTAGTTCTCAAAAAAGGGATGGGAATAGTATTATTCTTACAAGTCAGATTTTTAAAAATCATGACTTACTAGGTACTAGGTGAGTACTCAGAAACACCTTGCCTCAGGAGTGGTGGCTAAAATCCTAACAATCTGAAAGTCAACTGACCAAAGGATCTAAGTGTTTATGGAAAGGTGGAAGCAACTTAAATACTATTTTTAAAAAAATGAAAAAGATACTCATTACCGGAGAAGAAATAATCCACAAAGTGGCATTCACTAAAAAATTATCATGTAAACAAAGAAACAGACGGGGCCTGCCTGTTAGCTCAGTTGTTTAAGCACCTGCTTATGCAAACGCAGTCAGGAACAGGATACCCGGTCTAACCCCACCTAACCCCACCTCCACCTGCCTTACCAGACCCGCCCTTAAGGCAGGCTGAGCCAGTCAAAAAAAGAAAAACGTAGAAAAACATGAATCACAGTATAAGAGACTACCAATGAACTGAAACCAGTATCAGTATCACTGTAGATATTAAAATTAGTGGACAAAGGGCCGGGGAGATTGCTCAGTAGAGTAAGTGCTTGCCTGGCAAGTGCAAGGTCCTGAGTTTAATCCCCCGTATCGCAAAAAAAGAAAAAAAAAAAAAATTAGTGGACAAAAATTTTTCAGTTAGGGGCTGGGGAGATTGCTCAGTGGAATAAGTGCTTCCCTGGAAAGTGCAAGGGTCAGAGTTCAATCCCCAGGGCCACAAAAAAAAAAAAAAAAAATCAGTTATATTCGAACTATACCTTATTTATCCAACAAGCTATAGTAAAGATCCTATACAAACAGAACATACAAAAAGTACAAAAATATGAAAACTTGTAGAAATGAAAAACATACTGGATAAATTTATGATAAGTAAAGCAGCATTTGAGACCCCTTCAAAGGAAAGAACAGTGAATATAAAAGCCATCAACAGAAACTACCCCACAAAGAGAAAACACAATAATAAAACAAGCTACGCACAGTGATGCACACCCTGTAATCTCAGCACTCAGGAGACTGAAGCAGGATTATGGTGAGTTTGAGGCCAGCCTGCACTACACCACTACCAACAGAAGCCAGTAACAAAACAACACTCTTAACAATGGGCCTTGAGACAACTTTAGGAAGCCCAAAGAGGGAGTCGAGAAACCAGGAAAAAATGGCCAAAAAGGTTAATTTGATGAAATTATAAAACCAGATTTTAAAAAGACTCAGTGCAGCCCAAGCATAAGAAGCATTAAGAAATCTATAATCAATTATCAGAAACTGAAAATAATGACGCATAATGGAATTAAAAAATGAAATACTCAGAGATGTATCTAACAGAAGACCTATATTCTGAGAACTACAAAGTATCAAAGAAAGGCTAGATAAATGAATATATGCCACCAGAACCACCACAAATATATGCCACCACAAAACCCAATATAGGGCTTGGGGAGATGGCTCAACTGAATAAATGCATGTCTGGCAAGCCCAAGGGTCTGAGCTCAATCCCTGGCTCCACAAAACAAATAAAAAAACCCAGCCAATATTAAGATATTAAGATGTCAGATCTTACCAAATTATCTACAGATTCTAAGCACTCCAAAACAAAAACCTCTGAAGACTTTTTTTTTTGAAGACAAGACTTTGTCAAGTTGACTCTAAACTTCATAAAGAAATGCAGAGAACTTTTTATTAGCCTAATAATGAATAAGATTTGAAAATAGATACCAGTCGAGGAGATGGCTCAGTAGAATAAGCACTTCCCTGAGAAGCGCAAGGGCCTGAGTACAATCCCCAGTTCCGCAAAAAAAAAAAAAAAAAAAAAAAAAAAGATACCACCTGACTTCATGAAGACTGAAATCAGGTGAAAACAGTGAGGTACTAAAGTAAAAATAAAATAGCTTGAAGACTGGGCGCGCTGGCGTGTGCCTGTAATCCCAGCATTTGGGAGGCTGTAAACAGGCAGATCACTAGGAGTCCGATGTAGTAGTGATACCCTGAACACCCTGTAGACCCTTCCCTAAAATACAAAAACAATGCAAAACAAAACAAAAAATAAAATAGCTTGAAATGTAAATATACGAATATTTGCTTTTGACAAATGCAAAGAAAATTCTGATAAAAGTCTTCCCAACAAAAAATACTGGGGCAGTTTATTAATATATAAAAACATTAACTGTTCTATTCCAAAATCAAAATTCAACTCAAACATACCATAAAATCTAAAACCGCAAGGTGCTGGGGAGATGGCTCAGTAGA